CCCCCCCCCCATTAAATCCATATTTCAGGTATTCGGAGATGCAGACCATGTACGGATGATTTCAGAAGGCTCAGATTGTCGCTGCAAATGTATCATGAGACCTTTGAGCAAAGAGGCTTGTGCTCGTATTAAAGATGGCAACATGCAAGTAGAAGATTATTATACAGTGGAGACAGTGAGTTCAGGATCAGACTGCAAGTGTTCCTGTACTGCACCACCCTCATCTCTCAACCCTTGTGAAAATGAATGGAAAATGGAGAAAATGAAGAAACAAGCCCCTGAGTTATTCAAGGTATAATCACAAAGTTTTCCCTTCAGTGTTCTAAAACTAAAAGAATCAGTGCACCTTAACACAATAACTTTTTATTTTGGTCATAGGTGTATTTGTTGGATTAGCTGCCAGTCCTTATACACAAAAAGTTTGTAGACACCTGATCATCACACATTTATGAGCTTGTTGAACATCGCATTGGGTGAAACAATCTTGCTTGCAACTGGCATTCCAGTTAATCTCAAAAGTGTTTAGAAGGCTTAATGGCTCTTTGCAGGCCACTTGAGTTCCTCCACACCAAAATGATCAAATCATGCTACCATGGACTTGAACTCAATTTGCAGGCGTGTCTACATATTATATAGTGTAGTAAGTTTTTGTTTTGGAATCCCTGGCAGCAAAAACTGTGAAAATAAATTAACAAAAAGCCAGTGGGTAACTCAGCTGGGCAAACTTTACTCATAACTGATGGTTTAGTTACTTAGAAAATTATACTGGTTTTGTAAACTGGGACTTCGTAGAGGGGAGATTTAGGCTCCTTGGAATAAGTCCCACAGCACAAATAAATGCAGTTCAGAAATATGATATTCTTAAGTTAATTTAAGTGCTTTACACTATTTACAGTTGTAGAAGGAAACATCCAACATAAAACCAAACACTGAAAAAAACTAGCTACTTGGTCTGCTAATTACACTGACACAGTTTTCCTCACTCTCAAACTGGTCAGATCTAACCCATGTCAATTACTCTTACTAACCAGCACATTTGCTAACCTTTTGTTGTATTCTAAGCTCCGATTATAGCTCACCTAAAACTGGCCAGCCAGCCAAGGAAGACCCCACCTGGAGTTATGGTATCTAGAAGTCACACAGCAATGTCCTGGGGAAAAATTCCATCCAGGACCTTCCCCAACAATCTCTGTAACTTTGTTTCAACCCAATGGTTGGAACACACTATAAAAGGAGTAAGTGTATTCAGGAGAGGGTATCTGCATTTACCATGTTTAACCTGTACAGTGCTTTACTGTGAAGCTGTTAACCTTAAAGTAAGGAAATGCCCAATCAATTTTTTTGGTCTCAAACGTGCATGAACAGTCTCCAGAGGGATGGGAGGGAATTCAACACCTACTTTATAGCTAATCATTCTTTCTCATTCACTGAGTAATTCCTGTTATGCTTATTTAGCATAATCTGTCTAAGGTCCTCTATTTATCATGGGCCAAACCTTAGTACATTGTTTCCTAAAGTAGTTGCAGAAAAGCCAACTCCAGGCAGAGTTTGTCACAAGGACATTGGAGCTTGACCAATCACTATTCGATTCCTCAATAACTACCAAATCAATTTTTTTACCTTTCCTGTGACCACTACCCTTCTTGCTTCTCAAATTGTGTAGTTTTTTTTATTTTATCTGAATCCCAGGTTATTTGACTGTGCCATGCTTAATAACAGTTGTTTGGCCTAGAAAAAGAAGAGATTTTAGAGCAACAAGTCTCAAGCCTCTTATTTTTGCACACTCTACAAAGTGTCAGCAGTTTTTACTTGCGAAATCCATGGAGTTGTCTACAGGGTTACTGAAGTGATCTCTGCAATTAGTGACTCCCTATCCTTCCAGGGTTTCAGCAAATATAATATGTTATGGTTTCCTTTTTCCTGGCTGATAAGTAGAAATGAATATAGTGAGTGCTACTACCCATTCATAGATGCATGAATGAACAAGAAGTGATGTAAAGCAATTCCTGTTCATTCATAACTGGGGACACATAGTACTGGGGACACATAGTACTATGTGTCCCTAGTTGTTTACAAACAGTGGAGTGATCAGCGTTTGTGCTGCACAGAGAGGATTGGATCACTGGGGGGCAGAGGAGGGAGCGCTTTCACTTCAGGATGGCCAAGTGGTGAGGAGAGAGAGAGAGAGAGAGAGAGCCGCCGGCTGCTAATATTATGCAATACTTCTGGTATGCTAAATAGCTTGTCCCCTCCACTGAACGTAGTGGTTCCTCATCCCCACTGACCTCTGCAGGACACAGTGGTGATGTAGAGGTAGGCGGGAGCAACAACATTAGCAAGCAGGGGTCAGGCTATTCTACACATCGGGAGGTGAGGAGTAGCATCAGAACTGGGAGGTCTTTGAGAGCAAATTGCAGTTCACCGGCCACTGAATAGGTTAAAAGAAAGATGCTTTTTTTTCACATGCTGTCTCTGCTGATTTATTTTTTTCTTCTTAACAGGGTCTTGATTTAAGTTTTAAGTATCTGAGTGTATAGAAAACATCTATGATTATTATTGTTTTCTGAGACTAAAGGGCTATATGCAGTTTAAAAGGATTAAGGTGGCCATTAAATTGTAATATTTTTACTTCACTTTTTGAACTACCTTTTTAGATGTGGCCATAGACATGTAGGTCCATATCTGACAGTGACCAGGTACAATGATGAAGATGGAGCTTATATATTTTACAAATTGTGATTGCTGTATGGATTTTCTCTCGAACACCAGGGAGAAGGTGAATATGTTCTCTAGACTGATTAAAGACAACTTCTGTATTACTGCTGTAATAAAACTTGAGGAGGTGCTGTAAAATGGAAAAAATAGAATGGTTTTATCTGCTTATAATATAATCCCCCTTATTAACCCCCCACACACAATAATAATACACTCAACCCCTCCCCTCACCTGTTCACATCTTTGCTGGGAGGAGGCTGTGAGCAGGAGCGATCCCTGGTTATCTGGGGGTGATTAGTGAGGTCTGCAGCAGCCCTCACTAATCACCCCCAGATAACCAGGGATCGATTCTCCTCGCATACATTCTTTCTTTCGGCCGGATCTCAGAACTGTCAGAGCTCCGGCCGAAGGAAGCCAGAGCTGACAGGAGCTGCTAGCGGTCTGAATTCGACACAGATGCAGACCGTGCAGCTGCTCCCACAAGTCAGGTACGCGGTCTGCGACCGTGTGCCTGATATGTCAGCTGGCTGCGGGCCACATAGTACCGGCTTGCGGGCCGGAGTTGGACCGTGGACCGGTACTTGGAGACCCAAATTTCCACTCTCCCTCAGTTTATTTTTACTCGCCAAATGCGAGCAGGCGAGTGGAAATTTTGAGCCCTGATAAAGGTATATATGAATATAATGAATCAGCTATATGTGTTAATCTCAAAGAATTATCAATCGTTAATTTTTTTTTTCAAATGGACATGTACAGTCCATTTATGTTTTATTTATGTAAAGTAGTGTTAATAGTATGAACAGTTAACATAATTATTACTGGAATTGCTGCCAGTTCAGGATTATTGCGACATACCTTAGACAGGAAGGTAAGCTAAGGCAGTCCTACACAGAGATCCATCATCCCTCGGCCTTGTGGCATCTGTTTGGTGCTGATTTTTTTTTTTTTTCTCCCCCCCCCCCCCCCCCATTAAATCCATATTTCAGGTATTCGGAGATGCAGACCATGTACGGATGATTTCAGAAGGCTCAGATTGTCGCTGCAAATGTATCATGAGACCTTTGAGCAAAGAGGCTTGTGCTCGTATTAAAGATGGCAACATGCAAGTAGAAGATTATTATACAGTGGAGACAGTGAGTTCAGGATCAGACTGCAAGTGTTCCTGTACTGCACCACCCTCATCTCTCAACCCTTGTGAAAATGAATGGAAAATGGAGAAAATGAAGAAACAAGCCCCTGAGTTATTCAAGGTATAATCACAAAGTTTTCCCTTCAGTGTTCTAAAACTAAAAGAATCAGTGCACCTTAACACAATAACTTTTTATTTTGGTCATAGGTGTATTTGTTGGATTAGCTGCCAGTCCTTATACACAAAAAGTTTGTAGACACCTGATCATCACACATTTATGAGCTTGTTGAACATCGCATTGGGTGAAACAATCTTGCTTGCAACTGGCATTCCAGTTAATCTCAAAAGTGTTTAGAAGGCTTAATGGCTCTTTGCAGGCCACTTGAGTTCCTCCACACCAAAATGATCAAATCATGCTACCATGGACTTGAACTCAATTTGCAGGCGTGTCTACATATTATATAGTGTAGTAAGTTTTTGTTTTGGAATCCCTGGCAGCAAAAACTGTGAAAATAAATTAACAAAAAGCCAGTGGGTAACTCAGCTGGGCAAACTTTACTCATAACTGATGGTTTAGTTACTTAGAAAATTATACTGGTTTTGTAAACTGGGACTTCGTAGAGGGGAGATTTAGGCTCCTTGGAATAAGTCCCACAGCACAAATAAATGCAGTTCAGAAATATGATATTCTTAAGTTAATTTAAGTGCTTTACACTATTTACAGTTGTAGAAGGAAACATCCAACATAAAACCAAACACTGAAAAAAACTAGCTACTTGGTCTGCTAATTACACTGACACAGTTTTCCTCACTCTCAAACTGGTCAGATCTAACCCATGTCAATTACTCTTACTAACCAGCACATTTGCTAACCTTTTGTTGTATTCTAAGCTCCGATTATAGCTCACCTAAAACTGGCCAGCCAGCCAAGGAAGACCCCACCTGGAGTTATGGTATCTAGAAGTCACACAGCAATGTCCTGGGGAAAAATTCCATCCAGGACCTTCCCCAACAATCTCTGTAACTTTGTTTCAACCCAATGGTTGGAACACACTATAAAAGGAGTAAGTGTATTCAGGAGAGGGTATCTGCATTTACCATGTTTAACCTGTACAGTGCTTTACTGTGAAGCTGTTAACCTTAAAGTAAGGAAATGCCCAATCAATTTTTTTGGTCTCAAACGTGCATGAACAGTCTCCAGAGGGATGGGAGGGAATTCAACACCTACTTTATAGCTAATCATTCTTTCTCATTCACTGAGTAATTCCTGTTATGCTTATTTAGCATAATCTGTCTAAGGTCCTCTATTTATCATGGGCCAAACCTTAGTACATTGTTTCCTAAAGTAGTTGCAGAAAAGCCAACTCCAGGCAGAGTTTGTCACAAGGACATTGGAGCTTGACCAATCACTATTCGATTCCTCAATAACTACCAAATCAATTTTTTTA